GGGGGGGGGGGAGGGGGGAAGACAGAGATGGGCAGGAGTGACGGATGGCGCTGGGTATGTCCCTTCGCACACCTGGGCCGAGTGCATATCGTGCCCGACCACGAGGAGAAACACTCACTGATCGGGGTATTCCAGTCGGCGGCAGACTGAGCAAAAGAGAATGAAGGCAGGCGCGCGAACGAGGACGGGGCAGCAGGCGTGAGAGGGTTTTTTCAGGTATTGTGGCCTTGCATTTAACCCTTTTGGGTCTACAGGCGTCCTGACAGATCATTGATTGATCATTTGTAAATGCTGGTGTTGTGGCATGCCATGGAGTTGCCGCCCTGTATCCCTCCACGCCAGGTGTTGGTAAGTCAATAGGTAGGTGTTTCTTTTTTATTCGCATCGACCGCGCTACCCGGTGGCCAATGAAAATACGTAAGTGCCAGCGGGAAATATCGAGGTTCCTGGAACGGTCAAAATTAGAATAATGCACACTGCTCTAAATGCGAATACCACCATGAATGTCTCCCCATATCCTTTCACAGAGACACACATCAATAGCTTCACACACATGCCCTCGCCCGAATCTAGGAAGCCACTTAAGCAAAGGCAGGAGGACAGCGAAAAGGGGCACTTCAAGCCCAAACAGGCCAGGATATCGTGGTATGCTGCATATCCTCCAAATTCGAAAGTTGTACACTCCCAAGATCCAGCACAGTCATCATGTCAGCGGCTATTCTGCACAGCAGCAGCCGTACAGACGAGTCCAACTAAACAGCAGAGTAGGTAGTAACACATACACTATCAGCATAGCCCCACACATACCCTCGCCCGAACCTGGAGAGCCACTGATGCAAAGGTAGGTGTGTGCTGGTGTGTGCTTGCGTGCTTGTGGGAATTTTGGGAAAATCACAGGAGCTGTAGTGAGCCGGCAGGGCTCACATTGGGGAGGGGACAGAGAAGTACAGAAGTACAAGAACCAGCTATGGGTCTACGAGCCCTCTCACTGATCATTTTCACTGATCATTTGAAGATACTGAAAACAGAGTAGTTCAGGCGGCTTGACGACTGATCTTTTCGAGGTCTACAAGCCTAAACTGCGCTACTGGCCGCACCGCGACCACGCATCAACCCTTCTTTGATCCTGTCTGTGTCCACCGTCCTGTCGCGGGCAGCTCATGGCCTATGGGTGGAGATAGCTGTTGCGTCTACATAAGTACACTCGTCTTCTCTCTGCTGTACTTCTGTCTCTCCCCGCACTCTCTCCTCCAAAAAAGAGGTAGACCCAAAGGGGTTAATGCCGGCGACCGCCGTTTTCTACTGCCGCTGGCGGGCTACGCCCCCTTGAAGTAGACCTGCCATCGAAACGGCAGTGCCCTCCGCAATTAAGAGCAACCTCCGTGTGAACTGCGGGATCTGGATC